ATCATTTTTCCGAGCACAAGTAGAAAGCTGACTGCAGTGAGATACGTTGGAGAGCTGGTGTCCTTGAAGCTTAGCAAAGCAGACAATTAGGTTGGCAAGATGTCTAAGCTGCCAAGCAACTGTGTGCCTGTGTATAGACAGATATGTCAGTATTATCTTACTGAAGTATCAATACTTCATCTACTTCATATCTTGTCTTGAAAAAGAAGGATCTGTCTTCATTGTCGCTCCTTTTCTTTGAAGCTTTCTGTCACCTCATACACTTCACGTTGCTGACTTGAAGATTGTAAACCCCTCTTTCTGATGCTATAGTCATTTGGACTTTTTTTGTGCCATTTTTTGCACGTACACCTAATATGAAGGTGCTGGCTGTGATTCACTTTGAACTGCATGAAGCATCTCTTTAAACATTTTCAGAGTATTTGGGGGATGTGTGGTCCTTCTGGCAAGCAGGAGGAAAATTATTAGCTCAGTTATTGCAGGGTCTCAGTGCAAGTTCAGGTGGAATTCATGCTGATAAAAAACACTTCAGTTTGCATTACAGAGGTGATTTTTTTCTGAAGAGAACAGTAGAGCTGCCTGTGTGCCTAAGGCTCATTCCAAGGCAGGAGGATATGGTCGAAGTGCCTGGGCTGGTACAGTTTTGGGCCAACAGGCTGGTCCAGTTGGAGCTGAACCATGACTTTCATGCACCTCTGTTCCATTTCTGTGCTAGTACTACTGAACACATGCACGTTGGGGTTATCCCCATTTTCCCATCCTGCTGTTTTGTTTGCCAGCTGGGGAGTGCTAAAGCTCTGTTGACATTTCTATGCTGAGCAACCTAATGCTTCCCATTGTCTTTACTGGACAGATGAACTAAGGGTTAGGCTGGCTCAGTGGTCAGCTCTGCTCAAGTGTATGTAAACCTCTACAAAAAGACAGTCATGCAGCTTAAGTTTGATCCCTGGTCTGGTTTTTCACCCATGTTATCACAGACCACAAAATAATGCAGGGATTTTTGTTTTCACAGAGAGATACTTAAAATCAGTACAAAAATAAGTCAAATGGAGAATTAAAATGCATACTTAGGATGTACTTAACTTCTTGCCTCATTTTATTACAAGGCTGCTTGAATTCTTTAGCTGTGTTCTCATTTTCTAAGAAGCTATGGTTAACCAAAATTTCGGTTATAAAACAGACATGGAGGAGACAAATTAACATCTAGACATACACTCTACCATAAAGTGCAGAAAATGCAGTTAGGGTGTGAATGATATTTTAGGAGCTGTTTCAAGTACCCAGCACACTTGGCCTTTTGCACAAACAATAAACAACCCATTTAAATCAGTAAGTGTCAATCACTTGTCTTTATTAAAAGTAGTAGGAATTACACCTACTGAGTTATTCTTGACTTTCAAAACTGCTAAATTTTCGAGTAATAATGAAACTTTTCTACTTAATGAAAGATTTCATGTCCCATGTATTCTAATCGCCGATGTTCAGACTGATGTTTAAGAGAGTCAGGTTGCGGGCCCAATCCTGATCCCATTCAGATTAGCTGCCCTTTTTGTTACAGATTTTATAGGCTTGGAGCCAATATTTATGCAATTATTGCCCATGTCACTGTCGAAAAGAAGCTGAAAGGGGTTGATTATTGAGCTATAAACCGGATTTTTGCTGTCAGGCTGGCTGAGGTACAGGAAATCAAGGTTTGAGCAGTGCAAATACCAGAGTGCTGGTTTTCCCTGCAGGCAGAGGGAAAAGCAGGTCTCACCTGCTCGCTGGCCCGCTCACCCATCCATCTGTCCGTCCGTCCGTCCGTCCGTCCGTCCGTCTGTTGGAAGCCGAGCACAGGGGGCCGCGGCGCCGGTCCCACGGCGGCAGCAGGATTTCCTCCCCCCGAAGCCTGTCCCCTGCGCGTTTGTCTGCCAGGAAATCGTGTTCCCCGCGAAACCCGAAATACCTGCCGGGACCTCCTCCTGAGATAGCCCCCGAGAAGCCGCGGCTGAAGGCCACTGCTAACTTCCTAACATGTGTGAGCTTGTTCTGCTTCTAACCCTCCGGCCTCAACACGTATTCTCACGTTTCCTCCGTGTCCGAGGCGATTCTTGCTGCTCCTCGGAGGCGAGACGGTAAAGTCGGAGGTCAATGCAGCGGGCGGTGTGCGGACGGGGATGGACACAGGGAGGGAGCGCGGCCACACCGCGGCTGCTGCAGCAGCCCCTCTGCTGCTCCCGTCCGCGGGTCCGAAGGGACCCGCAAGTCACCCTGCGGCGCCGAAAGCGCTCCTCGCCCTGACCCTCAGCCGCGGGGATCGGCCTCTCCTGCGAAAGGAGTGACCTGTGGGGAGCAGCCACCGAGCCCGTATTTCTTTGGATGTCTTTAACTTTTGTTGCTTGGGTTATCTCAGAGATAAGTTCAAGTTTTTATCTAGGTTCTTAGTTAAAAGGATTTTATTAACGCTTACCTTTATGCGCCTACAGCGCGCACAAAAGGGATGCTGAGTAGAGTAAACCAGCTGTATTTATGTAAAATAATTAGCCGCTGGACAATAGAAGTCGAGCGATATATTTAGCTACATGAGGATATTTTCAGACAATACCAGGGCTCTTTATTTCCTCTGGTTTACTTAAAACAAGGATACGGAGAGTTAGAGGTCACAGTTTACTCACAGCTTTTGCAAAACACAGCTTGTAACCTTTTGCTTCAAAACAAACAGAAGCAGGGCTTCACAAAACTGAGGTAAAGCTATTTTACACGTCTCTGTTCATAGAAGAGTTTATCAGGCTCTGTGTTTACAGTGGCTCACGACTGGATACAGACCACACATTTGTTCAAAAGTTTAGTAATTAAGTACTTTCCTCCCCTCGCCGGCGAAGCTCTCCTTTGATGCCCCTCGATGTGCATAGATACCCAGTCTCTGTTTCCCACTTGAGCGCTAAGTTTCCGTCCTGGGAATCGGATCCTTTTCCACCAAATTGCGCCCCCGGATCTGCAATTCCTTGCTCACTGCAAATTAAATTTAATTAAGCAGTTTGCTTAAAACGCATTCGATATTTTGTGTGAAAAGCAAACTGATTTCCTTGTTTCTTTGAGTGGTAGATTTCATTAAGAAATCTACCCAACACAATTCGAGCAAAATCTATGGGGCATCGAGCGCGCCTCTGCTCCCCTTCCCCGTCTCTTGCGAGGGAAAGGAGTGGTCTCTGCCAGGCAGGACAGCGAAGGCTGGAGCGCCAGTTGAGTTTAAACTGGGGGAGGGGGGCGAAGATTTCCTTCCAAATTGACCAGGGAAATAAATGACAATGCCAGTCGTTTACCTTCTAAGGGCTTCTTCACCTTGGTCTAAAAGCCGGAGGAGCTCCACCGCTAACCCGATTTAAAAAAAAAAAATAAATAAAAGCCCGTATTTCTCCGGGAATAAAATTGTGAGAAATTGGTTCCTTATTACGGTCCTTTGTAGCGTGTTCTTACCTAAAAGGTAGGGAAATGACAGAAAAAGAGCGCTGTGATTTCCTGCGCTTTAACTTTCAATCCTTTTCTGCAGATACTATTTTGGCACGAAATCCCTGCTAGAAGAAATTCGGCAACCCCCTGCATTTCACGGGACTGACTTTGACACGGTACAACCGGTGCTCAGCCACCGCGCAGCTCCTGGCGCGAACCACCACCAGGGCAGCGGCATCGGCGCCTCGTTTGTCCTTCGCCGCCGTCTCCTCTCTCTTTTTCGGGGAGGGGGGTTATACACGACCGCAAAGGCTGCGGGCAAAGCAGGAGGCGAAGGAGCAGCGGAGGGGTAGACACGGGCGAGTGTGGTCCGGTCCCTCCGCTGACGGAGGCCTGGCCGCTAGTGGGTGCTGTGTCCCCGTGGAAGCGCGGTGGAACGGCGGGCGCGCACCCGTGCCGGGGCAGGGGGGGTGGGCCGCGGCTTCGTCGGTGCCCTCCGCACTGCGAAGTGGCCGAAGGGCGTCTCCGGAGCCGCATTGCCGGCCCTGTCCGCAGATAGATCCCTCTTGGCCAGGAATTAATAGCAAAGTGAAATAAAAGGCCGAGCTGCCAGCGAGGTACGTGGAGTCTGAAAACAACCGGATCCGAAAAAAAAAGTCAACCCCCGTATTATGGACGGGAAAATGCGCTGAATGATCGCCGGAGGAAGGCGAGGGAGCCCGCAGCCGCCCTCAGCGCCCTTGATTATCCCGCATCCCTTTGACGGGCTCCGCGTGTCCCGCTCCCCTCATTTCTTGGCTGATTGTCCCGCAACCAGATAAAACTTCGCTCACTCAGAGGCCCCGTGGTAAGGGCCTGTCGGCACCGAGCGTGGGAAAGCCCCCCGCTCCTCCGGCAACCGCAGAAAGTTGCGCGGGGAGTTCCGCACCAGCGGAGACCCGGCCCTTCCCCGCGGAGGTGTCTTCCTCCACGGAGCGCAGTCAGCAGTGCTATCCCGGGGGTGCGGGAGCGCCGCGGCCCCCGCTGTTTAAACAGCAGTGTACTTGAAAAACGTCAATTTTTTACGTTTGAAAAAAAAAACCAAAAAACAGAAAAAAAAGACTTTTGGGGGATTTATGTCTTTTCATTTTTATTTTTTCTCCCAGCGTGGGCCAGTCGCGCCTCCTGCACAGCCCCGGCGTGACTAAGACTGAGTGGGTTCTCCCCTCGCTTCGGCTGCAGCCCGCAGCACGACAGAGCCGGCAGCCGATGGGTGTTACCTGCCAGCCCCGCTCGGCTCGGCTCGGCCCAGCTCGGCTCGACGGGGTTGGGCTCGGCCCTCTGTGGCCCCGCCCGCCGCGGCGGCGGTAAATGACACACGCGGCGCCCAACCAGCGTGGCGGCCCGGCGGCGGCCCTATGAGCGGCGGCGGCGGGGCGGCGGGGCCGCGCTTATATGGGTACGGCGGCGCGCTGCTGCCGGCTGCGCTCCTCCGCCGGGGACTCGCTGGGGCGGCAGTAGTAGAGGAGCAGCGGTATCACGGTTGGCGGCGCCGCGGCGGGAACGGCTGTGGTTGGCGCCGGTCCTCCTCCCTTCCCCGCGCTACGCAAGTCCCACGCCCGGCTTTCCTTGTCCTGCCGCCGGGGCGCGCACTGCGGATCGCGCAACGGGAGAGAGGGACGTTCTGACGCTGCGGACCCCCCTTTTCATTTCTTTTTACTTCTAAAAATACTCGTATTTTCGCCACACTCCTTCTGTCCCCGCTCCTCTCCGGGGGCTTTGCCAACGACAAGGACAGCAGTGCCCCCCTAGGAAAGCCGGAGCCCTGCGGATGCGTCTCCCTAGGACCGGTGGAGCTGACTCGGAGTGGATTTATTGACTCGCGGTTGCTTCCGAGCTCCCTGAAACAGCCCGGGCTGGTGCCTGCGCGGATTGCAAACTGCAGGGAGCACTGAGAGGCGCACAGGGGGAGCCTCCTGCCGAGGCCGGGTCCCTCTCCACCAAACCTTTTATTTTACGTTTATTTTAGCTGTTTGGTTTTCTTTTTTTTCCTCCTTTTCACGCCAGCATTAGACGCTGAATGTGTATGGCGCACTGGATCCAAATGGGAGTTGGCAGTTTGAGTGGCATCTTCCAAGGCAGCCGGGAGACCCCCATTAAGAGGAAGGACTGAGCGTTTGCATTATTTTTGTTGTTACTTATGTTGTTACTTCGGAAGTAGCTTGGATCTTACCTCGTAGAATTCCCTACATGCGAGTGGCATACATGACTCAGTAGATCTGCCTGCAGCTCTCACCAAGTGCATCGACGACCCTTCGCGTGTGGTTTTTATTTTTCTCACTAGTAGTAGTAGTATTTCTTCGCGCTCCACACCCCCGGCCGCTGGGATACCGGTGTGTCCCCCCTGCTATTGCCGTCAGGTGCGGGGGAGTTGGCGAGGCTGCGGGAGGGACTCGTCGCCGCCGCGACCATGGCAGCGCGGAGACGAGACGCCTCCGCCTGGAAGTGCTGTTGGGGAGTCGCGATGGTTTTATGCAGAACTGCGCTGGCGAGGTCCATCGTTTTAGACCCCATTTATTGGAATTCCTCCAACCCCAAGTAAGTTTCCAGCCCGTACCCGCCTCCCCTCTGGGGTCGGCGATGCCCTCCGCGGCGGTGGGACGGGAAAGGAGGGGGGACGGGGACGGAGCCGCGGGGACGGGGCGGGGAAAGCCGCGAGAGGCGGCTGCCGGGGTCTCCAGGCTCGGCTAGCAGCAGCATCTGGGCCTCTCCGGTGCGCGGGGCCCGTGTCGCGGCGGAGCTGCCCCGCAGCCCCTCGCCCCGACGGGAAGGAGGGCGGCAGGATGGGGCGGCGGAGGGGGATCGGGAGCCGGACGGCAGCGGGAGGCTGAAACCTGCGTGCGGTGTGTGGGTTGCGCGCTCCGCCCCCGCGGAACCGCTGCCTCGGGGTCGGAGCTGCGGTGGGGGCCGGCGGAGCCGTGCCTCGCTGGGCTGCCAGGGAAGGGTGATACTCTTAACTTCTCCGTCTGCAGATGCAAATTCATCCCATTGACTCCAGCGAAGTTACATCTGCTTATAACAGGGCTAAATTTGGTTGTGGAGTTGATGGTATCAAGGCACATGTCAGTGAGTAATGAACTAAGCATTATCCATCACACAACCATTTAGTGTCATTCTTCATTAACAAACCTAGGCAAAAAAGTTTTTGTATTCCCAGGGCTTCGCTATCAAAGCACACCCTTAAAACAGAAGCATATCCTTTAAAAAAAAAAGTTCTTAAACATACAAAATTATTGCTACTGGGAAGAGGAACTTTTTGGGAAGTGGGCTCTTTCTAACTGAAGTAGTGATGAAAAACTAATTTCACTTTTTTCTCCTCTTTTATTTTTGAAAAGTGCATAATAAAAGTTGGCTTTGTTAGTTGTGAAATCGTTTGAACTTTAGTCACAAAACTCGAGTTTAGAAAAAAAAAATCACTATAGGAAAAAATATTTCACAATGAGTCTGGGGAATTTTACACCAGAAATACGTTAAGATAATTTCTTGTAATTCGTGTCTTCAGTTACATTTATTTAAAAGAAAACCATAGGCATTGTGTTAATTGAATGTAGAATGTCCCATTAAATCCAGTAAGTACACGTTTTGTTTTCCCGGGAGAGTTTTTGGAGGAAATATCAGGTGGTGATGAGACAAGAACGAATTGAGTATTCCCTGAATCGGGGATTAATTCTGTGTAGGTGGCAGGATCTGCAGGAGTTTAGTGAAGATTTCAAAGTTTGAATTAGAAGTAACATCTCAAGTTTGTAGTCTTGTTTTACAGCCATCATTACCTACCGTTGTTCCCATGGAAGGAAAAACTTGCTGCAGATTTCTGCTGGCATTTTTCGATAATGGATGTATTTGCTGTGTCTCTATACGGTTTCTTTACTGAAAAGTTTTTCTGTTCCTAGAAAAAAAAAAATAAAAATGCTGTGGACTTTTCAGTTAACTTTTCATTCCTAATTCTGTGCGACATGATCATTTTATATATGCACGAGGTGGGAAGCCGAAGTTTAGCTCCAGACTCTGGCTCTGCACTTATATGATGCTACACAGCTAAGCCTTTCTTTGGCTTAAGAAAGGTACGACATATCTAAGAATAAAGGGATCTGGCCGGTGATAAAGCGGGCTGTATAATGCTGTTTGAGTTCTCCAAAGTCAAAGGCTACAACCCGGGATTGCATTGCATTAGAGGGCCTACTGTGCCTAGTGGAAAACAGGCTGAGCTCAGCCTGGGAGGAACGGGGAAGGCTTTTGTATTCCGGCCCTTGATGGGTTTATGCCTACAGAGGTCACTCTTCCAATGCAGAAGAGCCCGAGCCCGCTGCTGCTTCCTCGCCTCAGCCAACTCCAACGTGCTTTCCTTTTTTTATTTTTTTTTATTTTTTTTTTTTAAGCTTACCTTGGTAGCTTTTTATTAGCCATCAGAGAAATGAAAGTATCCCAGCAGCTGAATTCAGCCCATCTTATGGAGCCCGGGGATATGCTTCCTTTATCAAATACAAATTGTGCTTCCATTTGGCTAATTCTAAACTATTTGATTTAAAAAAAAAAAAGCTTGAATGTTGCTAATGGTAGATCTAATGATAATATCTAATTACTTTTTCAACTTAAATACATGCACGCTTAAAAATAGGTTGTGTTGCTGATGTAATTGGGTTTTCTTGAGTGATTCATTGAGGCTTAATCACCACAGTGAAGAAGTACACTATTAAAATTAGTCTTTTCAATTGCTGGGGGTAGTGATTTATAGGCCACTTGGAGGCCCGTCGTTTGGGGAAGCTTAGAAATACATTGCTGATACTGCTGCCGGTGAGACAGCTCCACTTCTCAGAGCAGGATTTCTTACTAATTCTTGTCACAATTGTTTGCCTGAAGGATAGGGAATAATTTCTCCTTAGATGAGGTTGTCCTCACTCTGGATTCAGGCTGAATGTTAGCCTGAGAAGCAAGCTGCTGAAGGGATTTTGGCATAGCATAATAATAAAGCTCCTTTCTAGGTTTGAAATAATAACTATCTTTGGTGCTGGTTAATTTATTCAGGGAAGCTGTGCATTTAACTCTATTGAAAGCCTCAGCACATAAATCTGCTGAACAGGTAGGCAATTAAATGCTGGGAGAAGTTGTTAGGTTAATATAAAGTATGAAATAATAAATTTCAGGTTAAGGTGAATGTATAAACTGAATTGGTTTTGCACTGAAGTCTAGAGGTTATAATTTCTGGCAGGTGGCTAGATGGAGAGCACACAGTCACTATTCAAACACAAAGCTCCCTTTCTCGTTGCCCCCTCTCTCCCTTTTTAGGGATCTGCTTTTATTGTCTTGATACTGCAAGATGTGACACATGAAATAATTACACCTGTGAACTTTATTGCTTGGGAGATTAAGCATCGTTGCAGATGGTTCTGGTAGACTTTATGGACTTACCATTTGAAGAACCTTAGATCTCACGATCTTGAAAACAACACAGAGAAAAATTACTCTGTGGACCTAACTCCTGTTGACACTTTTTAATGGGGGACTTTCTGCCTGTGCTGTTTCTGCCAAGACAAACAATGTATATAGATAGCATGGATTACCTCAGTTTCACCTTCCAAGGGCTCAGGCACGGGCTCAGGCACAGCCTCTGACACACAGGACAGCACATGATGTTACAAGCCTCCTTTTAGGCAAAAGGTAGAGACATCTCATTCAAAATAACATTCCTGAAGTGTGGCGGTTTCCCTGGGTGCTACAGGCCCGTGAGCAAAGCAGTTCATTGTCCTTAGTGGCATGTGGAAGGTAATCCTCACAAGTGGTGCCTTTGACACTGATGAAGTTAGATGATATAGCTGTTTTTCTCTCTCTCTGATAACCAGTTATAGATGGGATATTTCACAGCCTGCTCTGAATGAATGCTAACATATCAGAAACTGATAAACTACAACTGATGACCCTGTTAGATGTTCTATTCAGTAGCATATAGACTAGTCTGCTTCTCATTGTATCTGAAATTATTAGTATTGTAGGTAAACAAATGCATATTCGCTACTGATTGAATAGCCCCTTGAACTATGCTCTGCAGTTTGCATTTGGGTTAATCTTGTCGGTTTTAATACACAGGGGGGAAAAAAAGGAGAAAGCACCAGGGGTGGAATTGTTAGTGCTTTCACATCCACATTCCTCACATTTTGTCAGGATGATAAACTGTAGGTAATGGACAGCCGTTGTTTCACAGGACAGGCGAGCCAACCGGAGCACAAAGAACTTGCTAAAGCGATAGCTCACAACATGTTTGGGAGCCTCTCACTGAGACAAGAATTTATTTGGAAGTCCTGTGTTATGGGACCACACTTTCTAACCTCAGCAATTACAGCTTCAAGCTGAAGAATCAGGAGTGGAAGGGTAAAATGATTTAAACACATGCTCCTAAATTGTACCCAAAACGTAGCTGTTGACACTTGGCATGCTAACACAAGGAGCAAGTGGTGGCTTCCAGTCCATTTGATATCTCTGGCATTCATAGCCAGGTCTCCGAAGCACAAGTGAATTAGCAACATGAATTCAGAAGAAACTGAAGGCCAAATTCTTCAGCTGGTTATTTGCCCCAGCCTTTTAATATGTGGAGTATAAGTGCTATATTATTTATAGTAATTATCTTAAAGTGTGTTATCTGTAAGCTGTGCTATGTTATTTCACTTTGTTTAATGAAGTAATTGCCTTTAGAAAGGCAGTGACTAAAAGTCAAGCTAAAATCACTGAAGTTCTCCCTCTTCCCACACACAGGAATGCCTCCCTCCTTTTCTTTTTAATCTTCTCTTCCCTGTTTTATTGTAAGGAGATCACATTGCTTTAGATGTGACACTCAGCATCGTCTCAAATTCAGCCAAGGACCTGAGGTGACTGCTGTGACATGCCAGCACGGACAGACCTGTCTACCCTGTGCAGCAGCCAGGACCTGGGTTGTGTTCTGGGAGCTTTTTCTTCTCTTTTTTTGGAGGACTTGGTCTTTATGTGTCGTGCAAACCTGCAGTACTTGAAACTGCTTGTTGCAAATGAGAAGAAAGTGTTCTTCTGAGGAAAAGATAGTGATTAAAATGTTATTCATGTGTGCCTAATGTCTGCCTGCCTTGGCTGCTGACATAAAGAAACCTGTTTTTCTGGTCCATTTATCATACATCTACATGGATTTGGTTATGAGCTCATTCTTTGTGAGGAGTTGTGGAAACTTAAATAGGAATGTTAAACTGCTTCAAATATTTTGATTAAAATATGCAGTGCCATAGAACATAGACTTTTAACCAGACCACCGCTGTCTTGAGCAAGGAGAGGTTTTTCGGGGGGCGGAGAGGGAGCAGGAAGGGAGAAGAGTTTGGGGCGGGGGGGGGGAGTTTCATGAAAAGCAGAGGCAGGGAGGATCGCAAATGGACAGTGTTAGAAGAGCTTGGAAAAACTCCTGTGGCTTCATTGTCTCCTTAAAGCCAGAGAACACAAAGACAAACGCAGTTCAGTCTTTCTCCCATGATGGAAAATGTAAACCGTTGACACAGCTCCCATGTTTAACTTGTTTAATTCTCATT